ACCAGAAAAGTACTAAAACCTCAAAAAAGCCTAGAGACCAGAACCACATTAAGGACTCTACCCCAAGAGACATTATGAATGTAAGCAACATGGCTACTGACTGCTTTAACCCACTACAAAATAAGCACAACCAACATCCAATCAGTAAAGGAATAAAGGTTTTTTCCACTTTTTTTTTTTTGAGCCCCACATTGGGCGCCAATAAATGTATTTGTCCTGGTTTAGGTCAAATTTGGAGAAAGAACCCTAAAAGGGTTTCCTTTAGGAAAGCAGACTCAATTGCCCCCCCCCCCCCCCCAACCAGTTCGGGAAGGATACTTCTTTGGAGGAAAGTGGAAAAAACCTGTTTATGAAACAAGCAATTTTAAACAATATTAAACAATAAAACTTCTCGCCACTCTAAGAGAGAGACAAACTCAGGAAAAATCTCCCGGGTTGCAGCTGGGCTCACTCAGTCTCTGATCGGTCCCTCCAGCTCTGGAAATACTGCGGTCCAGGCCCGGCCCGCTGGGCCACAGGTGCTGCTGCTGCTGCTCTTCTGGGTGTTCAGTCCAGAGCAGTCCAGAGAAAGGGGAAAAAAACTACAGTCCAGGGAGCTTCTTCGCCTCAGCTAGCTAAAAACTAATTAGGAAAAGAAAAAAAGGAGATCTCTCTCTCGCTGTCTGTCCATCCACAGACGACACAGTCCAGGAGCAGGAATGTGGAGAAGGGAGTGCAGTTCTTGAAAACAAACTCCGCACTTCTTCCCCCTTCCCTTTCACTCCTAGAACAAGTCTTAAAAGTATAGAACTTATTATTCAATATAAACAGAGCAGACGATTGGGGATAAAGGCATCATACAGTCAACCTAGGACACAGTCTGAAAGATGCTCTGTAGGCATCCCTTTAAAAAATATGTAGCCACCTGGTAGACAAAGCATGTACATAGTGTAAAGCAATTCCACACTAAGATTTCCTTGTCTGAAAAGGATATAAGTGTGTTTTACGTACATTTCTGCAGTGGGTGAAAATCATTGAAGTATGTAAGATTTCTGCTGTGGAAAGAAAATACAGGTTTGTTAAAACTTGTCAAAAGAACAATAAAAGAGATTATTTATTTTATCATGTTTCTTTTCAACTACCATCTGCCTCTTCTCAGTGCTCTTCCAAAAATTGACAGAGTTTTAGATTACATGTTACCTTCTGGGGAAAATCCAAGACATATGATACAGGTATCATCCAAAGCCCTTATAATTTAAAATATTTAAAAATATGTTCTAAGATCGGACTGTATATCAACCCAGTGTGTTCCTTCCACTGTATTAGCTGATTTCTTTAGAGGCATAAGTGTGTGAAAAGAAAAAGAAAATTAGCCAGTCTTGTGGTTGGTAGTAGCTGTTCAAAAAGGAGTACCACCCTCAGCATTACATGCTACGTTGATGTCTACATACATATATAGATTGACCAACAACATGGTATTTAATTTTTACATATATGAATTTATGCAAAATGTGATGTGTGAATTATGAAATATGTGCAAATAATCCAGTGTTGTCCACAAGAGATTAATGTTCTGACCAGTGGCATAACATAATGAACAAGAGCTACAAAGATTAGAAAGGAAATGCTCATGATAATCTGATGACAATAAAATTATCATCTTATCTCATTGGCGATTTACATTTGTTGGGTAGTTGTTCAGCTATTTTACATGGTTAGAGTTCTCCTTTGCCATTTCTCACTTTTATGACTTACTATGAATATTGCTGCAGGGTAAAATGATCTTAAGGAAAAATTTGGAAGTTGAGAGAAAGGGCACTTCATTTACATGATGCAGGAAGGGTTTAAACCAAAGTTTACTAAAGTAAACTAAAGTTTACTAAACTAAAGATGGGAGGAGAACTTAAATCTACCCCAAGTCTAGCTGGTGCCAGTGCCAACAGGAGATGCCCAGAATCTGGAGAATGTTCAGAATCCAGCAGGTTTTGATAAGGAAGAAGTTCTTCCTTATGAAGGCACTGGAACAGATTGTACAGGGAAGCTGAGAATGCACTGTCCCTGGAAGTTTGCAAGGTCAGGGTGAATGGGGGTCTGAAAAATCTGGTCTAATGAGGGGTGTCCCTGCCCATGGCAGGGGGGTTGGAAAGAAATGGGCTTTAAGGTCCCTTACAACACAAACCATTCCATAATTCTATGAACCTCTTACAATAAAGAGAGACAGAAAATACAGAATAGAAGTAAGACAGAAAATGTACTGAAACATTTATTGTTGGTAGCTGTAGTAGGTTCAGGATGGAAGGGTTACAGATCTTTGGTCAAGGAGAGGATTTGTGCAAAGACTACAAGGCAATTAGGAAAAAATTGGAAGTTAATATAATGCAAAAGAATAAGATAAAGCTACTGCTCAGAGAGCAGCTTATTTATACCAGTTTATTTACAGGATGAGAATATTATTTTTAGCAGCACCTTTTGAATGCTCTTTAGGAGAATTATATCAGTATAAGAGTCCAAAACACAGTACAATGACCAAAGGATTTTTCATCTAAAAGCAAGTTTATTTTTTTTTAAACTCAAGGCTTGGAAACATTTTTATTTCATTGTTCAAAGTGTTTTGATATATTTGTGCATCACAAGGAATGTAAATGGGTAAAATTAGTACTATTTGAATAGAAATATTTCAAAGTTATCTCTGTAAATAAATAAAAGGCTGTTTAATTTGTCTTCTCTAATTCTTATATTAGAATGTTGACTGGGAAACCCCAGTAATACTTATGCAGAAAAGAATGAAATTAATTTCACTTTAAGAAGAAAAATTAACTTTTTTTCCTTTTTTGAAATCTCTGTCTGCTGGTAATATAGCTATTTGACTATCTTTGCTACATTCCTTCCACTCCTATTGACAAGCAAGAAGCAGATCTGTTGGATAGAGTCTCTAAACTGCTTATGAGCAGTGACCTACCTGCAGAATGGTAAAATAACCTTGACCACACAAGAGATCTTAAGGCAGTTGAATGAATATGCTAAATTACCCACCAATCTTTGTCTCTTTAGGACCAGAAAATACATTAACCATGTGCATTTATAGGAAAATCTCAACTAGTGAAATAAAATTTCCGATCAGAATGAAAAAGTTATCCAATAAATGTCTGCTCCTAAACACCTCTATACAGAAAAAGAACATTGTAATGTCTGTGTCCTTCCTAAGCTAATGAAGGTAAAGAAAGATGTCTTAGTAATTCTGCAAATTCTAGATTTACTTACATTATCATCAATATTCTTTGATGAAAGTCTAAGAAGCCAGCAACATCTAGGAAATATCTGACAAAAATTATTTTTAGAAGACACTTAACTGTTGTTCTTATGGAGCTTGTTGCTTTAGCAATTCTCCTGTGATGAGCAGCATTGCATCTGTTATCTTATCCTGAGATTTGATGCAGCTCTGTGCAATCTACTCATGGCAGGGGATTGAAATTTAAGATGGTCTTCCAACCCAAACCACGTTATGATACTGATTCTATAACCTTGTTAACATACAATATAACACAATGTCTATCCTATTGTAAAAATATCCTTTTTTAAATTATGTCTCATAAGGAAACAGCAGTGGAAACTGCTTGCACGGAACATGAGAGGGAACAGGGAAAATTCAGGGTGTATAAGACCCTGCAGATGTCTGCACTTCAGATGTTATAATCTGTAATTCCAAGAACAGAAATACTGATGAGTAAACTCTACAGTGATTCAAATTTAACCAAACCCAGGAATTTAAATGGGTTTTTTTCAACTTCCTTTACCATCCAACTACCTTCTGCAGGGCAAAGATGATTATTTTGGAGGCCAGAATTTCACAGCAATTAGAGTCCAGGAGAGATGCTGGAGAATTTGTCTATTCTTGAGACTAATCAAAAGGAGACATATAACAATGATTTCTACTATTTTAATTACTTCTAGCACCTTTTTAAGTAATTTCTGCTCTGAGGATGTAGAGGATGGTAGCAGTATTCAGGATATAGAAAACCTAACCTGGGAAGTTCAAGAAGAAATTAGATGGAAAAAGAATTCCAAATATCAAACAAAATACAATGTTAATGGTTCTGTCCAAAACTTGGGAATTACTTTTCCTTCTGACAATCTGCTCAATATGTTGTATATATTTTTTAAATGTTCCACAGGGTGTTTGGAAAGGAAATTATGCACAATGTGCTAAGATGTGAACAATCAAACTTTTAAATATTTCAACTTATCTTTCTGTGAGAAACTACATGTGGAAACACAATTTCTGTTAAAAAAATATCACCCCAATTTTTTTTTTTTTTTTGCTATGTCATTTTAATAAATGAACAGATACATTTATCTGTTCAAAATTATTAGGTGGGGGGAACATGACCAAAAGAACCCAAAACAAATCAAGAACATTACAGTGCTTTTGGTTTGAAAGAACATTGACTTTTAAAATAAAGAAACACAATGATGTAGGAGGGAGGAAAAAAACAATCAAGATGGATTTCTTTGATTCTATAGATCTCAAGTGGAAAATATTTGTTTTATAATCAACTTTTTTTAGCACATATTACTCCCAATGATCCCGGTATTTAATCTCCTGCAGGACTGCTCAAATTCTAGAGATGTTCAGATTGTATCTGTAGGGAAAATAATAGTTTTTTGCAATACTTAACATGAATTAATTTTAATTCTGAGGAAATAGTGACATGTTCTCCTCCTATTCAGACTTACTTGCCTGCATGTTTATTGTTTTAGCTAGATGCACCTTGTTTAATATTTATTTTAAGCTTCAGTTTAATATTTATATTAAGTGTGTCTGGTAACAGATGACAAAGACAGTAGGAAATCTGTTCTCTCTAGATACATTTGCAAAACTGTGCATATCATTTCTATTCAGTGAGAAAGGATAAAATCATCTGTATACTAATTTTTTTGTAAATATAGAAGGTTAACTGATTTTGGTGTGGTGAATTATGTAGCTCACAAAATATCTCTTTTTGTATTTTTGTGTATTACAGGGAGTATCGTGTACCTTGGGATGATGGTGGGGGCATTCTTCTGGGGAGGCTTGGCAGACAAGGTGGGAAGGAGACAATCACTCCTGATATGCATGTCTGTCAATGGATTCTTTGCCTTCCTTTCATCCTTTGTCCAGGGCTATGGCTTCTTCCTCTTCTGTCGCTTGTTTTCTGGATTTGGGTAAGCTCCTCTGGTTTTGTTAATTTTCACAATTCTGTTTGTTAATAAAACTTTTCTGTTTGCATAAGAAAATTATTTAGTGTAGAATTACAGTCTGTGTCAGTGGTGAGAGAAATAAGCAAGGTAGCTAGTACACTCCTAAATAACAACCTGAAGGGGAAGAATCATTTTGGGGGGAAGACACAGACTGAAAACTGTGAGATTGAGTTTTTCCTTATATTGCAAAGGATTTGTTTTGTGAACTTGATCAACTTGCTTAACTCTTTTATGCCTCAGCTTCATGTACAGTATCTTGTCAGACAGCAATGTAACACTCTACTTACATGATTTTGGTAATATTTGTAAAGTTTCTAATATCTTTGTGTGCACAATACTGTTTATAATACCATGGCATCATGATAAATTTAAAAGAGGGTCCTAAGCTGTGTCAAATGTTCTCTCTTAAATACTGGAGTTTATGGACCTTTTTTTTTCTTTACTTTTCATTTAGATAACTTCTCAGTGATCAAATTTATAGATTTAAACTTTTATAAGCAGAGGTGGAGTTAGATAAGTTAACTACCATGAGGAAACCTCTACCTTTACTGCACAGTTGAATAAACAAGAGCTCTGTTCTGCAGGCTGCTTAGTTTAGCACTTCTGGTCATTGCCTGATTCAGATTAGGACTCCTAATTACATCTCCAATTCAGACCACTATCAGTCTTTGGTATGCTGAATAGACAGGATCTGGTGAAAGCACGGCAGCTGTGCTGCAAAGCCATGCACATGAACCTGCTTCTTTAATGGTTTGTTGCCTTTATGTTACGTAGTCATGGTTCAGCAACAGCAGTTGTTGGATATTTGTGTTTTGAGAAATCCTTTGAACTGGTCTGAGGTAGGCTAGGGCTCGACACGAGTATCAACAAGAAATTACCATAGCACTAAGTAGTTTTAAACTGATTTAGGAAGAGGAATGGAAGGACAAGAGGAGAGAGAAAAATGTGAGGAGTCATCTAGCTAGAAGAATCTGCTTAGTCTGTCACCAGATTTTCAGATATGACTTTATAAGACAACAAGGAGAAATGGCAATATTCTACTTCCTGAAAACCCCAAATCCCATAGAAAAACAAAATTTTAAAAATCCCTTATCATAAATCACCATCAGTTCTAGGAGATATGTTTTTTCACTCCATGCACAAACACTACAGATCATGTTGCATGACACTTTCACTCTTCTGCGATCCTGCAAAGTTGAGAATCTTGTATTACTGCTTAGCCTGGCCAATTCCCTGGGGCAGGACTGGACCCCTATGTTACAAAGGTTTGTTTTATCGCAGACCGAAATGGCTTTAACCAAAATTGTCCCCTTTGGGATATACTGCAAAATATGTATTTTTTATGCCTCATGAGAAACTTGCATGCACCATTTCCTCCTCACCTGTCCAGCAGGTTTTTACAGTAAGAGTCAGTGCCTGTAGCTTTCCTTGTGATACATGTATGTCCTTCTCTGGGAACCATGTACTCTTTTGTACCCAGCTTATGATTAATGGTCCTTGAAGGAGCAGGCTCTTCATATCTTTATCCTACACTTTCCCACTCTGTTGAAAGTCCCCTTACCTTATCTTTGGGAGCTACATCAATAGATCATAGATAATTTGTCACCATGTATTATATTTTAAATTGAGCCTCTGTCCTAGGTTATAATATTACCAGATTGAGCTGCAATTCCTTTTTCCCCCCCCTTATCTCGTGACTCAGAGATAAGTCCCTCCAGAAGGATCTGTTCTTTTAGCCACATGACTGATAAGATCACAGCATTCTATTGTGAGATGCTCCGCCCAGAGGGACGAGCCAAAAGATGCCATCAAGGATATAAGCGGGGTTGTGCAGACAGCAAGTAGATCCCCTCTTCCAAGAGGAACAGCTGAGACCTTCTCTACACTGGACCTCCAGAGGGAAACTACAGGACCACTGCTTGGACAGAACCATATCTGCTACCACCACTCTGACCAGCAAGTGTCAAGTTGTATCTCTAATTCTGTCAGTAGTTCTTCTTTTGTACTATTATATGTCTTTAGTTCTTTATTCCCTTTTCCTAATAAATTATAATTCTGACTTAGAGCCTCTCACTAGTTTTGCTTTTCAAACCAGGACATAATTTTGGTGCCCAGTGTCGGGCGAGAAGCTACTAAGAAAGTCAGGATTACAATTTTGCTATGATGCTTAACATGTTTATATGGGTCTCATACCTAACTCTCTATGTTTTTTTCCACGCACAGAGCATTATCTGCCAATTATAATGCTCCTGTGTAAATCAGGGTACAGTATAAAAATTGCGTTATTGGTCTATTATGTCTATTGCATGATAATCTCAGAGACAATGAACGTAATTTGAAATATATATTCACTTTTGTTTTCTTGTCCTAATCTAAGCTGCTGTGTTTGGGGCCTCAACAATCTCACAGCCCCTGGGGGGAGGGGTAAAGGATTACTTTTTCCAGCCTTTCAAGTTTGACACAGCAGTTTTTGAAAAGGTTAAGCTCCCTCTAGATACCAAAGATAACATAGTGTTGCTGTTAGTTCTGTTTTGTCTTCTCTGCACAGCTTGCAACCTGCTAAGAACAAAGCACTATATGGTGTAGTGCATCATTTTCTTAAAAAAGAAGAAAAGAGAAGCAAAACAACAGTATCCATGCCCACGCAAACTGCCACAAAAGAAAAAGAAACCAGCAGTAAAACAGCATCCATGTCTATACAAACTGTAACAGTCTCCGAAACAAATCAAACCTCAAACCAATCAAACAACAACAACAAAATAGACAGCATGAGCTGCAGAGTTGTTCCTCATAGCAATTACTGCAGAGAGAGGTTCATGGCTGGCTCCTGTCTGCTATTTCCTTCAAAGATTGTATTTTTCCCCTGAATAATTACTTTCAGATTATATCAGGGTAGCAGTGTGAAAACCATTAGGTTTCTAGAAATCTTTTGTCAGACCCTCAAGATGAGGAAAATCCCATCTTGATAAGTGTTTCCCCTTTTCCAGTCAATGGGTACCTCACAAAATAGTCACAATTTCTCAGATATGGAGGTCAGAAACTTTGTCTTCCAATTCCATCAGGACCCACTAATGTATCTTACCAGGTTCCATCAGCCTATGCACCTTCAGGCTACTTAGATGTTCTCAAACCTAATCTTCTCCTACAGTGGGATGTTGCCATTCTTCCAGTTCCCTTGCATTGCCTCCTGCAGCTGATGTGAGTGGAGCTCTTTTTGATGAAGACTGCGGGGAAAAAAATGTTGTTGAGTGCCTCAGCATTCTCCATATCCAGGTAACCAGGTCTCTGGTTTCCTTTGGGAAAAGGCACACATTTTCCCTAGACTTCTTGACATTCCACTGTACCTCTGTTTTTGAGGAAGGATGCTTTGTTCCAGTAATTTTGTGTGATTCAAAGAGGCCAGCTATGGAATTAGAATGATTTTATGGAAAGAACTGAACTATATGTTTTAAAGGCAAAATAACATTGTTACTCAGGTTGGAGAGGAGTGGGAATTTTCTGACGGGGCAGAGACTTATCTGGATAATTTCTTTTAATTAAAGATCACTGAAATATTAAGAAGTACTCAAATTATATAAAATCACTTAGGTATGTAGAGTTTAAACTGCTCCATTGTAGATAATTTCAAAAAAGATTAAGAAGCATGAAAAATAAATCCAGTATCTGATAAATGAGTTAATTTATTTTAAAAATATTGTAAAATATATTCGTCTCATAATCACTTACAGTGCAAATGTGTTTATAAAAGTAAAATGTTCAGGGAAAAAATACCCCTTTAAATACTTTCCCCCACCTTTTTCATCTGAAAAAAACCCCTAAAACTAGTAAAGTTTTTGCAGGTAAAAAAAAGAGATTTAAAATGCAAACTAGTATAAACAGTATCATGATACTGCTGCATAGAGACAAAATTCTGAAATGTAAGCTAAAGCTAGACAAAATAATGAAGAAATGTTGGAAAGGCTGCAAAATCCTTTTCCAGAAAATAATATCAGAACCATGATTTTTCCATTGATCATTCAAAAATCAAAACTCAAATCGAAATTGAATCCAAAACTTGCTAAAGGGCTAGGAGGGCTTTAGACATGGTTTCCTACAAAGTGAAAAGATCTAGAAAAGAAACTGTGAGTTGTATTCATCATTAGCCATTAGGGGAAGATGCAAATATTTATCAACAAAACGAACCTTGCTGAATCTCTCTGAAAATGTCAAAGGTAGGTTTCTCTGATACAGAGCACGACTCACAAAATAGCTCTTAACTTGAATGAAGCTGGAGCTGTTGTCTGTTCAACACTATCACTGGGAAATATTCTCAGCTACACAGTTTTGTCCAATTTCTAGAAAACATTAATCTAAGCTATTAGTTTAATATTTTTTATACTTACAATTTTAGATGAAATTTTTTTAAAGTACAACAAGTACATTTATAATAAAGTGATTAAAACCACAACACAGATTTGCCTTATCCCACTAAATTTCATTTTGGTTGCTTCAAGATATGCAGAGATTATACAATTTTGGGGGGAAAAAATCATGCTTATCCAGCCCAAATATTACTTCTAAAAGAAACCAAAGTTTTCGTACAGTGAAAACTAGCTGAAATAAATATCCTGAGGTGAACCACAATTTAGAAATTTTTCAGAAAACTTGATATGTTTGCTCCTGGTGGAAATTTATTCTTTCTTCTGAGCAAAATAAAAAATGCTTAATAAATATGACCTATTTTAAAAGCACACAGTGTTTCCAGATTGCAAAGATTTCTTGCAATTTGCCAGAATTGCCAATTTGGCCGAATTTCTTCTCCAAACCCACAGAAATATTAGGAAATACAGGTTAGATATTGTTAACTGATGTAACTAAAAGCTATTAAGAAGCTTTTCTCCTTCCTGTTATCCCTTGGTAACAAAAGTCTTTCTCAAGATGTATTAGCATAATATTCCTTTTCCAGACTGTTTTAGACTATATTT